TTCATTGACAGCGAAACAAGTACTGGTAATATCTCCATATCTTCACTCAATCTTGATAAAACGTAGAATCATTGACATCAATTGTATACGTAAATTAATAATAACGAGTACTAGGTGACGACTTATGTAATGGTAAAATGAGCTGCTGAGAGATAAGCTAGTGGCGAGGTCCATCCAACTAATCACATTAAAACGCGCGGACATCATCACTCTATATCTAGACAGCTCGATGGTTTATTTTGCTAAATGAGCCATCACCTTACAACCATCATTTCCATTCAGTATATAGATATACAATAATTTAGCTCAATCAACATGTAAACAATTTTTGACTCAGACTAAACCCAAAATAATCCACTCCATACGACCAACACAAATTGTTATGAAAAATGATACTTGAAAAATCCAAACGTGACGTATTGATGAACCCCCTAAGCTGCAGTTGCAGTTACAGTCCCAGGGGGCATGACAACATGATTCTCTGAAATTGGACCGCAGCTGGAGTGCCCAACAGCATCAAGGTCCCTAGTACGCACGTAAACCCGAAGCCCATTCTTCATAAACAGGGTGAGCGACATCTTCTGCTCCACTTTATGCCCGGGAACCATCTCCAACCGATGACGGAAGCAGCACGGCCGACGCGCACGACTTCCATCTGCAAAATACGCCCAAGTCTTCCTAGGCAAAGTCCTCGTCCCTACTGCATTGAAACGGCCACAAACTAATACGTCATCCTTCGAAGGCTCAAACCGATCCCCTGGCAGCTCGACAACCACCTCTCCGGCTTAAAACTCCATGCAGTCTCCCCATATCCATATCCATCTCCCCACCGAATAGATCGAGTAAGTGATCGCATGAGCCTGCAGGCACGAACGTACCATCGGGCAGCACCATCGTCGCGCCACCACGTACTTCGAATCCTCTCGGCCAACCGATCGGGATTACTAGCCTCAGCGTCTCCGCCAACGCTGTTTGAGTAGATTAGCCTCATACCAAGCGCTACCTCAAATTTCCAGCAGCTCTCCGCCCACTTCTTCGTTGTCGCGAGCGCCCTTGTCTCTCTAAGCACCGCCGCAATCTCTCCCACGATCCTCTCCTCTACATCAGGCCTCTGCATCACGGTCCAGAAGAACCAGCTGAGGGCGACAGACGAGGTGTCACGACCCGCGAGCACGAAGTTTAAGGCAATCCACTGTAGGACTGATGTAGGAAAGCTGTTGCCATTGCCGTCCTTTTTCTTCATGAACCTCGACAAAAGGTCATCGGACGGTGTCTTCTTTCGCACTGCGATGGCTTCGGTCATGTAACGTTCGACAACCTCGAGGCTTTTCTTGAGGCTTTTTTCCGTGCCGATGCCGAAAGCTTTCTTCAGCCGCCAGAAAAAGCTCGGAAAGAGAAATCGTTGCAATGTAGCCTCCGTGGCTGAATCAAACGCGCTCGCAAAAGGGTTATCAGGCAGATCAGGGGATAGAGTTTCGGGGTCTTTCCCAAAAGTCAAGCCACAGATATTGTCAAATGTCAATCTAAGCAAAAGGTCCTGGAGGTCCACCCCCGCGCCAGCCCCGGCATTTAGGCAATGATCAGCTAAAATGCGCCAGAGTCTGGTCTTTATCGACCGGTTAGCCCATCGAGCCATCGCCTGCCGAAGTGTTCGGGTGGTGAACTCCAGTGCGGCCGTCTTCCGTTGGATTAGCCACGTGTCGCCGTCGGAGTTGAAGATTCCCTGCCCCAGAAGGTCGTGGAAGGCCGACTGGAACATCGGACCTTTCGGGTAGTTGTCGAACCTCGTGCGCAGCACGTGCTCAAGGTTACGCGGGTTGCACGTGACAGTGACGAACCCCTGGCGGGCGAGGCGAAGACAGGGACGGGGGAGATGCATGTCTGTAGCGTTGGGCGGCGGGGCCAAGTGGATGCGGAGGTTTAGTGCAATCCGTCGTCGGATGCGGGCGCGGTTGGGATGAGACCGCGAAGGCTGCCAAGAGTGGCCCACATTCTCGGCCAGTGTCCAGGGATCCGGTGTGAGGCCCAGAAGCCACATGCAGCGTAAGCCCGACGCAGCGGCCACGAGGAGAGCTGCTGCGATCAGATGCGGTGCGTCTTCGTCTTGAAAGTAACGGTTCAGGTAACGGTGCGCATTGACGGGGCTCACCATTTCCATCGGCGCAGTGAGGCGACGCGTGCCGCTAGTTTTAGAGGTTGCAGGGTGATGTAATTAGATGGCCGATCTCGGTGTATTAATACTGCAATTGTTAACCTATAATTAATTCGAAAGAAAGATTAAGTAGAGGGGAAGGTGAGAAACACTGTGGATCGATTAACTAAGTAATTAAGTGGATATCTTTTACACGCTTACAAACTCCCCAGTGGATCACAGCTCTGATCGATTCATCAGCTCGTTTGATATTTTCTCTAGCTACGTACAAGAAATGATAATAATAAGAAAAGGCGGAAATATTATTGAGGAGAGAAACATGCCATTCATTTTGGGCAATTAGTGGTAGGGTGGGATCTGGAGGAGAAGCTTCTTGTTTGTGAGAGTGAATTGAAGGAGAAGTAGGTCGAGGTCCGTTCATCCACCGGGAGAAATTTGAGACTTCGGTCGCTACTGTGTCTGTATGCATGTTAAAAGAAACTTTGGCGTGTAGTAATTAAGAGAAGATTGGTACTTGGTAGCGTGAGAAAAAGGGGTCTTTTGTAAACAATTAATCACATGCTGATGATGAGTAGGGGCGCCGACGGATGCTCGGGTATGATATTTTCACGAGTCACATTGACCTGACAATTAATCGTTGGTACGAGTACGGCTACGGGTATGAGCCGTAGGCGTGCGAACGGATGCCGCGGGGGTTTTTTATTTCTTTAATTTTATTTTTATTTTCACCCCTACGCTCGAGTCGTTTTAAATCTAGTTCAAACGTACTCTCTCTTGAACCGTATTTTGATTGAGACACCGAATAAGGGCCCTGATGAATGGGCCTTTAGAACGTAGCTCTTATGGATGGGTAGTAGCCCAATGTACAACTTTTCCGATGGGCTTTAGCCCCATAATCTGGGCTTCAAAGCCGGACCAATGGCCCAGTCAAACGAAAATACACCGCTTCGTCCTGCCTTGTTACCGAAACCCTTAAAAAAAAATAAAGAACCCGCAGCAGCCGCGCGTTGCTGGCCTCCTCCGTCGCCGAATCCCCGGCGAATTGCTTTCATCTAGAAAAAAAAAAAGAAGAATGGCGGGCGTGCTCCTAGCAAAAAACCAGACGTGCTTCCGTTTTCCAGTCCATCAGGCGACGAGGCCCTTGGAGCGCGCAAGATCCGACCCGCTCGTCCTCTTCAGGCATCTGGCGCATAGCTTCGTCAGGCGACTCATCCAGGCCGATAGAGTCATCGGAATGTACTCGTGCGATATCCCTCTCGACGGCACGCGTCCGATATCAGCAACTCCTACGCCGTTCCTCACAGCGAGTCCTCAGATCAGGTCATACTTCTTTTAAAATCGCATGATTATTATTATTATTTTTTTTAAATTATTTTTTATTTATGAAATTACTTTATACGAACCATTTCAACAAAATAGGGTTGCATGCCTACAGGTTGCGCTGGATATCGAATACCATCATAACATGTTTGCATCTCACCAGAAGGTGAACCCCAAAGAAGTCATTGTCGGGTGGTAATTATCAATCACTAATCTATCTTTATTTAAGTTTTTTTTAGTCTACATTTTTTTAAGAGCATCTTCAACCATAAAACTCAAAATGGTGTAGTTTTTACACCAAGTTGGTGTAGTTTTTACACCAAATCACTATTTAAAGATTACATTTAACATCACAAAAGAAAACATCACACTTGCAAGCAAAAAAAAATAAAAATAAAAGGCATTACATTTAACATAAAATAAAACACAAAGACACGGTCCATATTGATAAAATTCTAAGTCTCCGAATTAGTATATTCATCCCACAAATGATCAATTAATGCATCTCGAAGTGCAATATGAGCTTCTTTATTCTTGATTTGTCGATGACGAGCCAAAAATCCTTCAAACCGAGCATTTTCATCTACAACCATCTCTACGTCTGGAACTGGCGCTTCCTTCCAATTTTCAATTGTAGCATTAAGATCACGTTCATCCTTAATTATCATATTGTGCATAATAATGCACGCAGTCATTATATCATGTAATACTTCTTTTTTCCAAAAACGAGCTGGTCCTGACACAATTGCAAATCGAGATTGGAGTACTCCGAATGCACGTTCTACATCTTTTCTGCATCCTTCTTGCTTCATTGCAAACAACTTTTTTTTTACTCCGAATGCACGTTCTACATCTTTTCTGCATCCTTCTTGCTTCATTGCAAACAACTTTTTTTTGGACTACGTGGATCATGAATTGTTTGTACAAGAGTAGACCATTTTGGATATATACCATCAACTAAATAGTAACCCATGTTATAATGTTTACCTTGAATGACATAATGAGCAGGGGGAGCAATACCTTCAGTGAGTTTTGCAAAAAGATGAGATGCCTCTAAAACATTAATGTCATTATTGGAACCTGGCAAACCAAAATATGCATGTCATATCCAAATATCATAATCAGCTACGGCCTCCAGAATAATAGTTGGGGATCCACTACGACCTGCGTATTGCCCCGCCCAAGCCGTTGGATAATTTTTCTATTTTCAATGCATGCAATCTAGACTGCCCAACATTCCTGGAAAACCTCGTTGTTTAGCAATATGTAGTAGTCTGGCAATGTCATTAACGTTAGGCGATCTCAGATATTGTTCTGCAAAAACCTCCACAACAACACGACAAAATCTCTTAAAACTTTCGATTGCTGTCGACTCTCCTATTTTAATGTATTCATCAGTAGCATCCGCTGGTAGACCATATGCCAACGTTCGGAACATAGCTGTAATTTTTTGAAGCGTAGACAATCCAAGTCTACCGATCCCATCCCTTTGCTGTATAAAGTAAGTGTCGTGAGCTTTTATGGCGTTAACAATGTGAAGGAATAAATCTCGAGACATTCGAAATCGTCGGCGGAACATCGAATCATTATATCGCGGATTCTCAGAGAAGTAGTCGTTGAACAGATTACGATCAACATTTTCTTGATCACGGTTGATCACTATATGACCAGGAATTGAGCCTCCACGGATTACTTGGTTGTTTTGTTGATTGATATAGTAAGCCATGAGAAGGTGGTTGTTGTTCCTGATGTGAAACACCGCTTCCCTTTCTGCATCAATCGCTTCAATATCATCTATCAATTGTTCATCTTCAATTTCATTATCAGAAAATGATGATGACAAATTAGAAGGATCTCTATTGTTAAAATTCATTTTTGAAAATAGAGGTTTATGATTTTAGCAAACTCATCAATATGAGCTTTTATAATAGATGGAGATGATAAACGAGAAGTGTTGAAAGTTGAAATGTTGTCATAAAGAGTTGTCATGAAGTGCTAGAAGTTGATATGTTGTCATTGATGTGTCTTTTCTTTGAAATGTAGTCATGAAGTGTTTGAAGTTGATATGTTGTCATTGATGTGTCTTTGAAATGTTGTCATGAAGTGTTTGAAGTTGATATGTTGTCATTGAGGTGTCTTTTCTTTGAAATGTTGTCATGCAATGTTTGAAGTTGATATGTTGTCATTGATGTGTCTTTTCTTAAAATGTTGTCATGAAGTGTTTGAAGTTGATATGTTATCATTGATGTGTCTTTTCTTTGAAATATTGTCATGAAGTGTTTGAAGTTGATATGTTGTCATTGATGTGTCTTTTCTTTGAAATGTTGTCACTTTCATTTTTCATCTATAAATAACATATCATACTTCATGAAACATACATCTTCTTCATTTGTGTTATAGATGGCTTTAAATCAACGAAGTTCTTCATACACAAATGCTGAAGACTCACACCTCTGCCATGTATATCTTGACATTTCCCAAAATCCGATCATAGGTATAAACCAATCTAAGGATCAATTTTGGTCTCGAGTTGAGAGTGATTATCATAGCTCAATGCCTGCTTTTATCACTCAAGTTCGACCCAGAAGATCTTTGCAATGTCAAATGCAAACTCTCCTAACTGCAATTGGCAAGATGAGGGGATGTGTAAGACATGTTGAAAATTTAAATCCAAGCGGTGCTTCTGAACAAGATATTGTAAGTGTTATTTGTTACAAATATTTTTGAGATTTAACTTATGATTGAATTTTAATTTTATATATTTATATCATTTTGCAGTTCAATCGGGCTAAAGTGTTGTTTGCTCAGGATAATAATTATAAGAAGGGATTCAAATTCGATCATGTATGGCCCATTTTGAAAGATATCGAAAAATTTGCAGATGTTAATGCTGGAATTCAAGTGGGACGTATGCAACATGGTAACTTTGCATCATCACAATCAGAGTACTCTCCCACTTCAGACTCTCTCACACCAGCATCTCCTGGATTGGCTTCATTCGATTTTAATATGAATGACAATGATTTTGGTGGTACTTCAACTGAAAGAACTATAGGGGTACGGAAAGCAAAATTTAAAAAGAGAAATGATGAAGAAAGTTATAAGTTTATGGAGTATATGAAAGAAGAGAATCAAAAAATTGTTGCAATTATGGAAAAAAATAATGCTGATAGGTTATGAAATCCAAATGTTATGAGCTCAAACTACGGCCAAAAAAGTGGACGTGGAAGAATTACGTGAAGAAAATTTAATTTTACTGAAAGATTTGACACAAGTAACTGATCCAAAACTACATGAGTTTCTTGTACAAGAACAATCAAGAATTATGCATAAAAGAACTAAACAATGTGAAGGATCTCAAAATACCGGTTCTGGTACTTTTGCCCAATATTTCGAGCATCTTAAGAACTAAACAATGTGAAGGATCTCAAAATACCGGTTCTGGTACTTTTGCCCAATATTTCGAGCATCTTTGTCCTTCTGATGATAATTTCCCAGAATACTGAAATGTTGTTTTAGTTTATGTTCAATGTTCTATTTTTCTTTAATTTTAATGTATTGCAATTAGTGTTAATTTTCAATGTTATTTTAGTTTATGTTCAATGTTCTATTTGGTTCTAGTATTATGAAATTTTAAGTGTTTGGATTAAACTATCTATTTTTTTCCATTGTTGAATTTTATTTTAATAATTATTTTATAATCTAATTTTATTATAATAGTTCATATCAAAATAATTAAAAAAATAAAAGCTACAATGTAATATTTTGATCATGAATAAAAAGAGAAACATTAAAAACCATCAACAAAATAATAAACTCTATGCTAAAAAAAAGGTTAAAAATTAGCAAAAAAAAAAGGCTACTGCGCCAAAGCTACAGTGCTGCGCCAAATCTGGCGCAGCACTGTAGCTCTCCCCCAAAATGACGCTGAGGATAGAGTTCGGTTGGAGGATGATTTGCGTCATTTTTTGCATCATCTTGGCGGTTTAGCTACCGGTTGGAGATGATCTAATAGCCTTTGTTTTAGGCGTCGTATTTTTTACAATCCTTTAGGTTGCGGCTGAAAGCCGTTTGTGTGTGTAGTTTGCAATTGTAAAAAGAGTCAAAAGACATTGTTTGCCAGATATATATTGTTATAAGAAAACAAAGATTACTGTATTGGACCATAGCTTGGATATCCCAAAGGGTGATGAAGAGAAGTTATATTCAACAACTGGATCTGTGTAGTTGTATTCAACTGCCTTTCCCTTGTA